GGCCGTGCGCCCTGGCCGCGGGTCAGGGCTGTGAGCAGCCGGGGCCTGAGGACGGGCAGGAGGGTGTTCGGGCGTAGGGGAGGGAATGCACAGGCTGGGGGGATCTGAAAAGGGAAAAGAGAGGGAAGGCACGTTCCTTCTGTGTTTCTGGAGTGATCTTCCAGGTCAGGGAAAACCGGAGAGCACTCATGGGGACAGAGTCACGACAGAACTGTGGGGCAGTGCTAATTCTTGGATTTACCCTCTTGCTTTCCTACTGTTTTTAAAGGTAGCTATGTCAGAAGAAATGATAGGCACGTGGGATGGATGAATAAACAGTAGTTTGGGGTGCTGTGTAAATAATTAGAAATAACGATGTTTCTATTTTAGGATATGTCTGCCTATGTGAAAAAAATTCAGTTCAAGTTACATGAAAGCTACGGTAATCCTTTGAGAGGTGGGTTTTGCGTTTGGGCGTTTGTTCCTAGAACTGGGATTTTGATCAGTTCCGCTGAGGCTTTATCACCCGTATTAACACTTCTATTTCTTACTGCAGTTGTTACCAAACCACCGTATGAAATCACCGAAACAGGCTGGGGTGAATTTGAAATAATCATTAAGATATTTTTCATTGATCCAAATGAAAGACCTGTAAGTACATTAAACTTTTAACAACACTTAATTAATTATGGTGGCCTAAAGCTGCGCTGTAGCACGTTGCTGGTCAGAGTAAGTCCCATCAGCCATGGAAGTAACAAAGCCTGTTCTTGTAGAAAACGTATTTAATGATGGGCCACGTTTTCCTGTTTCTGTGCTTTACTACTGGCATTCATGACTGCTTTTCCTGCACTGGGCTCCTCTGACACTTACTAACACGTGACCGCGTGTTGCACCATACCTGGGTTGAGCACATACCAAGGATTTCTCTTCCATGTAGCTTCCTAGTTCTAGGATATTTGAATATTTTAATTAGGGGTTTTTTTGGGGGGGTCTATCAGATTTGGTCAAAATCAGTCAAAAAGCAGCAAAGGTATTATGCTAGCATTAGCCTCTTTCTTAAGCAAACCAGGTTAAGACGCTTCTCTAGTTGAATAAAGCATTGGAATGAATTTCTTTCTTCCCATCCTGTGTTTTAGACGTATCTTGCAGGTTTGTTTATCCAGGTTTAGGTAGGAAACTCGATTACCGTATTTTAGGGGAATGAGATGTTTATTTCTTGAAAGTTCCTTCTGTCGCGTGAACTACAGTGATCCTTTTGTTTAGCCATTTTTTGCCAAATGAGGGGAAAACTGAATTTTATGTTTTTCTTGAATAGGTGAGAATTGCTACTAGAGTAGAAAGGACTTCCTGCGTGGTCGTGCTCAGTAGCACCCTGACCGGTCATACTGATTTCGTTCACAGCTTGACCAAGCTGTCCTAAAGTTGGTTGGGTGTTTTTTCTTTGCTGCTGTTCTCGGAAGGCTGTTTCAGTGCCTGTCGTGTTCTTCCTTTCCAGGAAGTACCGACCCGAGGCGGGTATCTCGCTCTTCCATGACCATTCCTGGGCCTGTTTGTGCAAGGGAAGAACTGTGGGCTGCATGCCCTCTTCCCAGGTCACGGTCCAAGTGGTCAGCAGTTCCTCAGAGCTGGACAGAGGGCTTCCGTTCCTCTCCAGCTCCTGCCGTTTGCAGTGCGGTAATGGAAGAGTAACTCCGTAGAGAGAAATTTCAGTGAAAAGCTATTCACGGGCCCCCCTGGTGTTTTTCCTACGCAAGAAGGGATGATAAGGTCACAGAAAGCAGTTTCTAACTGATTCACTGGCAAAGTCGGTTTGAACTAAATCATCTATTTGGAGATGTTTACGAGAAGGTTTTCTTAGTAGTTTTTATACACCAATCCCAAATCACTTGCCCAGACATTTTTAAACTATCAAGAAGCCTTTGGATAGTTGGCGTGCTTAACAATCAAATGTAAGTAATTCTACTGAAGCTATATGACACTTATTTTTTCATTCCTAAAAGATTTTTAAATCGTATACAATTGTTTAGTAAGAACAAATACTGCTTGTTGATACCTAGAAGATGATTTGCATTTCCCTGCAATTGTCAAGCTAATAAAATTCTGTCTTTGTGTAGGTAACCTTATATCACTTGCTGAAGCTTTTTCAGTCTGACACCAATGCTATCCTGGGAAAGAAAACCGTAGTTTCTGAGTTCTATGACGAAATGGTATGAAAATTTTTAATGTAATCCTCACTTTATTTTGAAGAGTATTGTTGATACCATGTATTTTTCTTCTTTATTAGATATTTCAAGATCCTACTGCGATGATGCAGCAGCTGTTAACAACATCTCGTCAGCTAACACTAGGTGCTTATAAGCATGAAACAGAGTGTAAGTTGAAAACTAAAATATTTTAATTTTAGAAATAAACAATAGTTTGTTATTTTTTTTCTGGGCTGTAGTAGTACAAAGGATTTGATGCTGCTAAAAAGTGGTATTTTCATTGAATTAGTTTCAACTGTTGCAAAGATATTAATACCTATTTGAAAACTTCTAAGATTTTCAGGTCTCTATGCCTGCTGAAAAGAAAGGAATTACGAATAACTCAGTATTAAGAGTGATGGCATGATCTACGCCTAGTTTAACATCTTTGAAATGAGTTAAAATGGAGAATAAATTCAGGCCACTGTATTTGTGATAAAGTTCTTTTCGTCTCATCGGGATGTTAAGTGCAAGCCAGGATCACACTTTAGCACTGAAATACAGAACAGTTAGTACTGTTTTAGTCAAAGCAGCAACCCTTTTGGGATAGAGTAGTGTCTGAAAGCTCTTCTGTCTTTTCCCTTCTGTCTAATTCTTTAACTGTCGGTCATTTCATAACATGCTTCTTCAGTATAGCTTAATGTTCTTTGTGTCCTTCATGTCTTTAAATGTAAACGAGAATATTAAGGGAATTAAAGAAATGAAAATACATCGATTCATAAAATACAATGCATTTAGTGATGATTTCTGTTCTGATCTTCCGAATTTCATCTCTTATCTTCTACTCTCAGAAAGCAAATGTAATTATTTATTGAGCCCAAATCCTACCTTGTTAGTTACAAACTCTTAACGCCATCGTAGTCTGGCTCACCTGGCCTTTGCCTTATCTGCACATTCCCCTGACAACAAATGTCAGGTATTTCTAGACAGTGAATACCTAGAGCTAAGAGTGGTTATGAGTTTGAAGCTCTACAAAGCTAGGGTCTGATTTGCCTCATGTCTATTTGGGTGTGTGGACATGTGAGCTACTTGTATTTTCTACCTCAGTTTAGCCAGTCTTGAGGTGGATTTTTGTTGTATTGTATGTTATGGTTTACATGTAGAAAATGTTTAATAATTTGAATCATAAAAAAGTCTTGTCTAAATTTAAACTTTTCTCACTTAAAATTTCTGGATGTTTCTCCTGAGTGTAGATAGAAATTTTTAGTGGGTTTTTTTGGTATATATTTCCTTAAAATGTGCTACTGAAGCAGATAAAAATTAAGATTTTTTTTTTTTTTTTTTTGCCACTGCCCACAATTATGTAATGTATGGGATATAAAGGGATATCCATGGCCTCCATAGATTTGTTGGCTTTACCAGCACTGTCCAAAAACTTGTGTGTAAGCAAATAAAAAAAAAATAATAAGGACATCTCAGTAAACCAGATTGAGATGTCCTAATGTCAGGTATTCATGAAAGCAGAGGCAGCGCCACTAAATCTTTTAGATGCATAGAATTAAACTCCAATGAGACGGAGAGTAGAAAGTGGTTACAGTACATGGAGAGGGAACTACAGAATGGTTGAGGTGCGAAGGCATCTCTGGAGGTCATCTTGTCCAAGCCCCTGCCCAAGCAGGGTCACCTACCGCAGGTTGCCCAGGACCATGTCCAGCTGGCTTTTGAATTGTCTCCAAGGATGGAGACTCCATCTCCCTGGGCAACCTGTGCCAGTGCTCTGTCACCCTCACAGTAAAAAAAGTTTCCTGATGTTCAGAGGGAACTTCCGGTGTTTCAGTTTGTGCCCATGGCCTCACATGCTGGGCACCACATATAAACTATTTGTAATTCTCTGTAATCCTCCATTTATTTGCTCTCACCATGTCAGGTTTTTTCCCCACTTAATCTTTAAAAAACTCTGGAAAATGATTTAGTGAGTTATGTAACTCCATCCACAAAACTGATGGGCTGAATGAGGCCACAAAAGAAGCTTGCTTTTTTTTTTTGCCTTTTTGGGGTTTTTTGTTTGTTTGTTTGTTTGGTTGGTTTTTTTTTTATTCCAGGGGTTTTTTGGATACCATTTTGACCACAATCATTGCATCTCTAAGGCTAACAGTAATAGATTTTTTTCAGGACACACACCATCCAAATTACTATTGCAATTAAAAAAAAAAAATTACAACTTTTCATGGCACTTAAAATATTTATTTTTCTTTATCACCGCCGCAGTTGCAGATCTTGAAGTGAAAACCAGGGAAAAGCTGGAAGCTGCCAAAAAGAAAACTAGTTTTGAAATTGCGGAGCTTAAAGAAAGACTAAAAGCAAGTCGTGAAACCATCAACTGTTTAAAGAATGAAATCAGAAAACTTGAAGAAGATGATCAGTCTAAAGATATGTGATGAGTATTGACTTGATAAAGAGCCTATACTGAAAACGGAAGGACTTCAATCATGGAATTGTATGTGTTCTCTTGAATTCTGTAACTGAGACTATGTGAATTTCACTTGCAAATGATTGAAGTATGTGGCAATCTACTTCACAAATGGAAGAAAAAAGAAAGAATGTATCCTTGTTTTATAGTTAAAATCTGTGGATATTTAACAATTTATTTCAAGTAGAAGGGATCTTGGAGACCTGACTACTTTTTTTTTTTAACTGCATTTGAGTGGTGTATAAACACTTTGTATTAAGTCTTGTGTTAGTTCAATGTGATTTTACAAAATGACGGTGTTTACTTTTTGGTTTTTTCTACTGATTGTTTAGAGATGCATCTTTAAAGCTGAAAATAAAATACGCGGTTTTTTATTTTAATATTTTTTGTCTCTGTCCAGTTGTGGGCTTCAAGAACAATTGGAAATAGCATACCCTGATTTAAGGTAGAGGTTGAAATATAATGGTATGCAAGTTGCTTAAGTCTGGTTACAGTGATTTCTGCATGTCTGTCTGTTATCAGCACAGTAAAAAAACCTTCTCAAAACAGGATTTTAAATAACTTGTATATCTACAGATGAGAGTTTCTAGCCCCACACATGCTTTATGCATCAATTATACAAGTTATGCTCAGTCCTGTTTTGTAGAAGTTTGTTTAATATTTGTACTGTACTGTATTTATTCTTAAGTAACTAGCAAGTGCTCCTCCTGAAAAATCAATACATGATCTTTTGCCTGTTACATCTTACCCCCCCCCCGCCCTTCCTTTTTTTCCTCTCTTGTAGAGGTAAAAGAGCCTGATAGAAATGGCACTACCTCAGGTTTTGAAAAGGCTTGGGCATCTTTTCTACTGCTTCAAGTACTGTGTTGCAGTAAACTCTGCTAGAGAATGAAACATCCTACATCCCCTCTCCCATAGAAGACATTATCAATGCTTTGAGAACAAAGCACTGATTTCTTCACATTTGAAACAATTGATGATTGGCTTTTACCATGGCTTGGTAAAGATTTAGAACCGAAACAGGTTCAACACTCAATACGTAGACTTTTTCATTAAAAAAATTTTTCATTTAAAAAAGAACTGTTAAAACTTGGCATATTTAGTTTATCGTATTATATATATACACATAGGTTGAGGAACAGCTTGTAGTAGTGGTGTCTACACATCCTTCCCAGCACTGCAGATTACCCAAATTTTTCTGGCTACCTAACTGGTTTGGTTTATTGATTGAGTAGCCAATTTCCTTTTAAGCAGTAGCTGAAGAAGAACGTGCTAGACAATTTCAGTACAGTAGAACGTGCCATTTTCAGAGCTGTGCATTGAAAATAAGACTTGTGTGGGCATTTTAACGCTGAAAGAACACTTTTCAAAGAAAAGTTAAAAAAATACTCATACAATTTTCTTTTATGATACCTTATTCAAAGTGTTTACTTGGCTGCTTCCTTGTCTTTGACGATCATCAGCAGATTTTTAAGGAAAAATATAATAGGGTTAGCATGAAGTGAGTCCTTCCAAGTGTATTCTCTTAGCTTCTTGCAGATTTATTCCATTTCCTGAGGAGGTTTTTAAGATCCATTTGTCCATGCTGAAACAAAAGTGGGAATGGAAAGCACAGTTTTGGTGATACTAGGTTGTATTCAACATTGTTATCTTCATATTTGTCAGTTAAAATAACACTAATGTAGAGTAACTTAGATGCAATATTAAATAGGTTCTGCAAGAGCTGTGACTAACAAGAACAGAGCTGCTGCAACAGGCTTGAACAGACCAAAAAAGAATGGAGTGGTGCCTTTCGAATCCAACGTTTTCATAGAAGCCTAAAAGTATTCTTTTTGTTTACATTTTTAATAACATCCAATAACCAGTCTAGTATTCAACTTTACAGAAACAATGATCCTGGCTCCACTGTTAGTAGCCATCAACATGCTAGACCAGTGATGTAATTTTTTTTTGTGGTTAGCATTTTTTCCCCCCCAGTTTTTCTTTCAACTTTTTGTATTTTTTTTCTTCTCCTTTGTGCTCTCTGTAAAGATCATACAAGAGTCTTAAGGTTCCCCCGTCAATACTAAGGTAAGAAAATAGTGCTAACATCTGTCTGTGCTGAGCAGTTACTGTTGATAGAAAACAGAAAGAGTATCTTCTGCTTTACAAAGTTCCTTATTATGTTCTGTGTTTTCATTAGAAAATACTTTCTTCAGATGCTGAGAAAGCAATTGAGCCCTGTATTAGGCAGTAATTAAATTCTGGAAAAAGTTAATGAGAATTAAGCGGTTTAGGATTTTGGCTTGAGAATAAATGTGAAAAAAACCACCTCCCTGCATTTGACAAGTAAACGTATAGCTACTTTCTCTACATGCAGCTGCATGGTTCTCAGTTAATAGATAGGTTATGTTTGGACCAACGTGTTCTGCCATTAAAAGAGTTGTTGATGCAAGCACCTGAGATAGCATGTGTACACAGTAAATGTACAACACCTCCTAGTGTTGACCTCCTAGTGCCTATCATTTTCAAAGTTACTAGAACTGAAATACAGTGGGGCATCTAAGGACACAGCTGCATTTGACCTCCATTGCCTTGAAGAAAAAGAAAAACCCAAACACTACACTCCGCTTTATTTTTGGCAGCCCTACGAAGATGTGATTCCAGACAAATAGTTACAGTTTGTGTTTGCTAGGGGTTCTAACTTAAATGCCAGCTATTTATATTGCTGAGACTGACTTTAGACTGTGGTTTCATCCTGAGTTATAATTGTGAAACACAGATGTATTTAAATTTGCTTTGCAAAGGAGGGAAAAAAAATCCCTTATCATGCTATAGGTACAGTTTGATATCACTGAATTGCACAGTAATTTGTCCAATTGCCTACACAGAACCTTTAGGCTCTACTTGAAGTAACCCTTTGGTAGGTAAAGGTAAAACATGGTTTATCTCAGTTTATATGCTTACTGTTATCAATTTTACCAATGAGGAATGTTTAGTTCAGACATCACACATGCAAAACTGGTAGTTACTGTCATTGCTGCTTCCACTATAAAACTTGGGGGTTTTAAGTATTTTAGCTAAGACACATTAATAGTCATCACAGTAATTTCAAACACTGACTGCTTACTTACTACCTAGTGTTATTTATCGCTAGTCCTTTTTTTACCTAGCTCCATCTCATATAACTTACTTCTTTCCTTTGCCTTTGGGTTTGGCACTCACTCGGTAGTTTACAGTTAGGCTGTGAAGTTGTATAAGGCTGTGCCCAGGAGGTTTCTCATCAAAAGTGCCATTATCTGACAGGAGATGTGTAAATACACTTAATTCAAAGATTTACTTGAGAATTTTTGTGGTTAGTAGAGATGGGACTGGAAGGAATGTTAAGTCACCTTGTTCCTTTTCTTTCTAGACAGATGGTGGTAATAACACCAACCTAAAGACACTTTATTCATTTCATCCATATTAAATACATCAGCATTTGCTTGCTTCTTAACGGGAATACAGATTTAAGAGCATTTCAGGTTGTTTTCAGACATAAGGCTGTTTTCCAAACACCAGGTGGCAGGTATGTCCAAAATATTCTCCAGTCTCAACAGCATTTTAATTACTAGGATTTTGGCAGATCTGTGGTATCTTTGGTTGATCTCATTTGCTTTGAGACTTGATCATCTGATCAGACAATTTGTATTTGTTTCTATAGAGATGACCAAATTATCTCTTGCATGTTATGAAACTGTTCAGCAGCCTTGTGAGTAATCAAATGTGCTGTGCCAGAAAGCAAAAAAAAGTGTGAATGTCTGTTTGCAATTTTTGTTCATTCGGCAAGGGAAGCAGCTTTCAAAATACAAATCTCTGGGGTTGTTTTTAGGGTTTTTTTGCCTTTTCAGGCTGAGATTGTGTGATAATATGAATGAACAAAACGTAATTTAGGTACTCTACTTGGACTGCATACTTTGCTTGCACTCAATTGCTTGCACTCCACTGCAGGTGCAAAATGGCAGGATTTTCCACAAGTAAAAGTAATTACTTCTTTAAACTTAATGTTAATAAGCTTTTTGACTACTTACTGCTTAATGAATACTATGAATGAACCTTTGGCTTCCAAGTATGTTGAAACTTCTGATTTTCCTGAATACAGTAGGGAAGAACAGCTTAAGTTAAGTGGAAGAAGAGAGAATTAGGATGGTAAAAAAGAATAGTAACAATGAGAAATTCCTGTTATATATGCATCGTGATATAATTAGTTGGGATTTATTTTATCATAATTTATGATATATTTATACTATTTCCATTTTTAAATGTTTTAAGCTAGAACATGAAATCATGTAAATTTCTAGTGAAACAGTCTTACCTAGGCAAATAGCTAATACACATCCAAAATTAACATTTCAATTTTCTTAGAAAAACCTCTCGAATGCCTAGTGATCAGGCCATAAAAAGAACTCATTAGCATTGGAATATGCAGTATTTGTCCTACTCCCTCCCTGATAATTACTATACTTTTTAAGGTGTTCATGTGTTAAACGAGTGGCTGGCACTTCTTATTCCCACAGTTGTGGAGAATTCTGTACTTTAGGACAGAAACAAATTTCATCTTATCTATTGGCTTCTGCTTTGCGAATACTTTTCACCTGAAGTGATCAATAGCTTTTTTCTTCAATGTCTAATTCTGCAATGTCTGGCAAATCTCACATTTTTTCACACTCTACAATTCAGCTTTATTTCAAACAGCGTATTTCATTTAACCTCTGATCTAGAATGTTATTAAAATGCATGGTGGAACACGCTTCTAAGTTTCTCAGTGAAACATTCTGGTATCTTTATTCATAGTATCGAGAAACAAGACATGGCTAAGAAAGGTCGTCTTCACCTGCTGAATTGATCAGACAAAACTGCACTTCAGTTTAATGACTCCAAACAAAAGATTTGAAATCATTTCACAGTCAAATCATAGTTTCTAAGCTTGCATCTCTAAGCACTAGCACGCTGAGTAAATACAGATATTATGAGTTGGCAAAACCAACAAGGTTTATGCCTCTAGGCATTTAACAAGGGTGACAGCTTTTGGACTTCAGATTTGGAGAATGAATAGTGCTGCAGCACTCTGCTGTTCATGTGCTGAGTCTGTTGAATTTAGCAGGGCCAGCATGTGGCTCCTTTTTCCTGTCTATGTTCATTAAAGCAAGAATTAATCCAGGTCATTTTTGTTTTAATCACAGTCCTAATTAGAGTGATAACTATGTCCCACCTAAAGCTCCATTCAGGTCCT